CAAGTGAGGCTCAGCCACCTGCTCTCAATACCCTCTTTGACCCTGGGGACAGGGGAGGACAAGGCGATGCATGGTTACAATCTTAACATTTCACAAAAGACTATGCACAGGGAAGGTACAAGAAGCTACGGAGGTGGGGGGAGGAATGAATCCTTTAATTGGACCCTTATGATTTTGAAGAAATCCTCGGGTAGAGAAGTAGGAAACAAGAACAGTCAGTCACCTGTGTAGATGACTAAGACCCAGTCCCTGCCCATGAGCGATTCTACTGTGGCAGGCATGAAAGCAGGTGGGTTAACCAAGCAATGATGGAGCTACTGTAGAGAGGTACTGGAAGGTAGGCCGGGTGCACCCAGAGAAAGGATGCTTCACTCAGTGAAGGGAGCGAGGGACTTGGCTTGGGGAGGAGTGGAGCATCTATGCAGCTAGCCAGAGGTCCAGACTGCAGGAAGTATCAAAAGATGGTAGGATCAATTAGAATTAGAAGGCAACATGTCAGCACCTTCCAGCCGTGTCAGAGGGCCCAGTGGGTAGAAATGGAAAAACCAAACAAAAATAAGACAAGGAGAAAGTCCTTCCTCCCTTCTGACCCCATGGGACTCAGCAGAGGCTTGCTAACGGACTCCCCTGCTGCACGGATAAGAGATGGGACCAACCAGGGGCAAATGGATGTGAGGAGGGGTGCAGGGAGAAGAAGAAGGGGAGACAGAAGCCACAATGTTGTCAAGATTTCAGAAGCTGAAAGGCAAGAGATCTCACCTAGGAATAAGGCAGGGAAAGGACATGAAAACCACACCTGTCTCCTAGTCATGCCCTAGGAGACACCCACCAATCCTATTTCATCTCCTCCCTAGGACCTTCCATGGCCACTCTGCCTTGGGGTGGCTTGTGGTCAGTTTTGCCATTAAAACTTCTACCTAGGGGTAGAAAAACTTCAGGTCAGTTCTAATCACACTGAGTCACCTGCACAGTGGAACACACTGCTTTCTTACCACAACCTGTGGACGACAAATTCCTACCATAGGTTTCATGCATGTGGGCTGCCCCTCATACATAATACTTAAAGCTATGCGATGGCAACCTTATACCAATGCAGATCCCTTCTAAAACTCTGCCAAGCTAGATGCCTCATCTCCCTAAGTTCACCCCACTACCAACTCCTTACCACCAACTCCTCCGACATGCTCTGAACCCTAGAAAAATGGAAATGTCCTAATGTTTGCCGTTGAGTCACCTAACTTACTCTGCCATTTCCCTCCATGATGTACTTTCTCTCTATTGAACTCCACTGGTGTGTGTGTGTGTGTGTGTGTGTGTGTGTGTGTGTGTGTGTGTGTGTGTGTGTGTGTGTGTGTGTGTGTGTGTGTGCCGGAGATTTCCAGAAAGTGAGATCTTCACCTCTGTGACCACTCACTGGTAACAGGTAGAGAGAAGTAGTTGGAAATGCAATTGGAAGGCTGGATGTAGAACAACTTCCTTAGCCACATGAGTTGATGAATTTCACTTAACAGTTGCTAACTGAGCACCTATGGTGTGCCAGGCACTGTTCTATGTGTTGGGAAATAGAGTAGTGAGCCAGACATAAAACTCAGTAACTGAATAATTGAATAAAATGACTGTATGCCTATTAGACAATTATTACTGGGGTTTATGGAGTGCTCTATTAAGTATGCCAGTTTCTATGCTTGCTTAATTGCATTTAATTCCCAAAATTGTGCAAGTTACTTCTGAGTCTATATTAAAGGACAAAGGCTGAGAAAAAAACAAATCATTTGTTGAAGATGACATAACTAGATGTGTCCAAAATCTTCTAGTGGCATCGGTTCTCTCTTGTTTGGGACCAAAGGCACACAGCCTGAGTTTGAATCCTGATAACCTCTACTTACCAGCTGGGATACCTGAGCCATTGTGCTTGTTTTTCTTAACAGTAAAATGGGATTCATGATAGTATCTCTCCTGCAGAGTTGTTATGAGAATTAAAAGGGCTATGTGCATGAAGTCATGGGACAGTCATAGCATGTAGGAAATACCAAATAAATTGTCAGCTGCTATTCATTGTGTGTGTGGTATGGTGTGTGTGTATGTGTGGTGTGTGTGTGTGTGTGTGTGTGTCCCAGTCCTGGGTCCTGAACTCAGGGCCTGAGTACTGTCCCTGAGCTTTGTCGCTCAAGGCTAGTGCTCTACAGCTTGAGATAAAGCTCCTCTTCTAGCTCTTGTTGAGTAGTTTATTGGTGATAAGAGTCACACAGACTTTCCTGCCTCGGCTGAGTTTGAACCAGGATCCTCAGATTTTAGCTTCCTGAGTAACCACTAGCTCCCAGCCTCAGCAGTTGCTCTTAAGCTGACTGAAACAGATGTATTCAACCTGTTTCTAATCAGGAAATACGTAATAAGTCCAGAGCTTTGTGTGGGTACGTCTCCTTGTGCAGAGGTTTGTTTTGTTTTCCTTGCCTAATTCAATAGCACCCACCTTTCTCTCAACTAACTCTCCACAAGCATCTGCTAATTGCTTTCATTGTTTGTAGTGCATCTAACAAGTGTGAGTAGGGCCTCATTTGCATCCTCAATAGACAATTTCCAAAGCTTGTTGGAAGTACAGTTGATTTGGGAGACCTGGTTTTATTTCTGTTTTGTTTTGCTTTTGGTTCTGTGTACCAACACTGGATAGGCTTGAACAAACTCACACAACACACACTGGTCCAATCTTAACTTAACACTTTCATAGAACACATGACTAAGTCCTGTTTCTCAGAAACCAAAATGTCAAGAACATCACATCATTGAGCAAGTTGATTGGCAAATGTCCTTTATCTTAGTTTATGTGCTAATCCCTGCAGGATACTGTTCTAAAGCAAATTCAAGATGAATGCTAAGTTACAGCATAAACAAGGCCATTCAAGCCTCATACCAACCATGCAGACAAGAGCCTATGATCGTGTGACATGAGGAAACTGAGGCCACGGTATAAGATGATCAGTAACTTGCTCATAGTCATACAGCAAGGAGGCAATGAGCTGCACCATGAGTCTTGTGACCCTGAATGTGTTACTTAACCTTTCTGAAGTAATCTATGGAAGGTACTCGGCTCTCTCCACAGCCATCATTACACTGAAGTAGCTAAGGTTCATATTTTACAGGGAGGACACGGAAGGTCAGATGTCATGAAAGGGAGGCCTACTTGATGCATGAGAGAGGGAGAGAGAAAGAGAGAGGGGAGGGAGGGAAAGAGGGAGGGAGGGAGAGGCATTGAGATTCAAATCCTCCAGGACCCTTCCTGCGAGCGCTGGATAGAAGTCAGTGATAGTTTACCATGTCAGATCCATTGCTGCTGCAGCTGCTTGCTGCTACTGTTGTTATTTTCCATACAACACCATCCCAAGTTCACAGCGAGGAAAAGAGCCACGGTGATATAAGAACCAGACAGAACAGCTGATTCCGTATGCAAGTCTACAGATCCTAGTCCATGCATAATTTACTCAACACTGCCCTGCAGTCACTTAAGCTGAGGAGAGACCGCCATAAATTCAGGTCTGCACACACTAATTTATTTCTTATTTATTTTACAGATACATAGCCAGGGTCTCCAGTGAGCCGCTCTAACACCTGCTAGAAGGGACCCGTAGCTCCTCAGGTGGAAATGGGGGTAAGAAAAGAAACCTGGAAATAAGTCGTGAACTCTGGAAACTAGAATCATGCAACTTGCATCCTCCTTTTTCAAACTGGGTTTAAATCTATGCACACTCTCCCCTCCTTTATTTTTGTGATACATGGGGCTGTAAGGTGGCTAATCTCTTATTCTGCTCTTTGTGGTAACGACAGCATCAGGGCATACTTCTCATACGAGCACAGGATCATTTCTTGGAATCAGAGAGTGTCAAAAAGGTGAGTACATTTTTTAATGCCAAGACAGACTGCAAAACAGGACTAAAGAAGTGAAGATGCTGCTATTCTTTTGAGCGGTTGTTGAGGACCAAACACCATGCTAGGTGCTGTAAGGGTCAAAAGTAATTCCTACTACATAGGGAGAGAAATCAAGGCCACTTGGAAGAAATAGCCATGGCTTTACAAAACTCACTTTTCACAGATGGCTAAATTGCGGCCTAGACAGAGAAAAAGAATTGTCCCAGGTCAGGTGGTGCAGCAAATTACCACCCTGTTTTGTTTACAGTTTTAAAACTTGGTTTGAAGGGGCTGTAGTTGTAGTGGTAGAGCACTTGTCTGGAATGGGTGAAGCCCTGGGTTCAATCCCAAAAAGAAAAAGAGAGGTAGGGAGGAAGGAGGAGGGAGGGAAGGTGGTAGGGAAGGAAGGAGAGGAAGGAAAGGAAGGAAGATAAAATAGAGAGAATGAGAGAGAGAGATGAAGAAAGGGAAGGAAGATGAGAGGGAAGGAAAGAGAAGAAGGAAGGGAGGAAGAAGGAAAGGAAAGAAGGAAGGAAGGAGGAAAGAAGGAAGAAAAGAAACAAATGAGAAAGGAAGGAAAGAAACAAATGGAATCTCTACTACAAGCTTTCTTTGTATGATTTCCTGGCACTTCCTTCCTCAGTTAGTTCTAGTTATTCTACACAGGTCAAAGGGCCCAGAGACCATCAATGACCTCACACCATTGAGTTCCTTCCTGTCCAATGGAGTCCCACACCAGGTATTTCCTTATGAACAGCCTCAAGATCCCTCTTCTTGTCTCCACACTGTACTGCCTCAGGCTGCTGGAGAGTCACAGGGATAGGAGACCTCAGCAGAGAATAGATTCTGGACACAGGAAGCGAGCTGAGCAGGGGCATGCTGGGTTGCAGGTATTCCTCAATTACTTTCCTTCACCCACTCTTCTTTCCAAGGTCCACCAGGTTATACTCTAAGCCACATGAGCTCAAACAGAAGACTTAAAAAGACCATTTCTTCGAAGGTCCAACCCAGACTGGCCAGGTTGTAGTTCTTGGCTATTTTCTCCATAGCTTACCTGCCACTGTGGGGAAGGTCCCTGGGCATTGGGGGTGGAGACTCACCCGCAGAACATGAAGATGGTGCTGGAACTGGCATCATAGGGCAAAGGCAGCGTCTGCTGCAGGCACAGCTGCTCACAGCCACCATTAAAGCCGTCAGAGCAGTCGATGCCCTTGGAGTGATCATAGCAGCCTGAACCGTCCTTCATGGGTCTCAGCTCCTCCGGACACTGCTCAGAAAGAGAATAACAATGTGGTTATGGGAAAGGAGGTGCTGGGTTCCATCACAATCTGCGTTCACAGAGCAAATGTTACTTGTTACTACTACTGACCTTGCTAGGACCTGTTTATTGTTGCTTTTATGTTACACCAGCTACAAAGGTCATTGAAGGAGGCTGCCAGGCATATTGTAAAGGGCCTCTGACAATATGACTTTAAACCCTAGTTATTCTCTTCCCTGTGTGACTGGAGGCTAGTTAGTTACCACCTTCTCTGAGTCTCAGGGTTGTCATTGATTACGTGGGCAGGACACACTTGTAATTGTTGTGAGTCTAAATTATATCATGAGGGTCTATATCTTACTTCAGCATTTGCCACATAATCTGTTACTCATTGAATGTGAATTGTCATCCTTTTGGCCTTTAATTGAGCTCTTCTGCAGCCTTGTCCCAGGAGCCCTAAATGAGAAGCTTACATACACAGAACTAGAGCATGCCAAGGCCTCATAACCAGTCTGGTGGCTCCAAGCTGTCTATCTCCTTGGCATCATCCTCCAAAGGACCACTTGATCTTCAAAATGAGCATCACTCCCCAGTATAAATAAACAAATAAGCTGATCATTAGGGTTCCTTACCCATGGACACTTGCATATATTCCTTGAGTCCTTGAGCTAACACAGGGACCCCTACCTTCCATGGCTAGATACCAATACTAGGAAATATCTGGCTACTTATTTAGTTCTCCATCATTTGATGAGCTAACACCATGGTCTCCAGCCTTGTCAGTGGAGTAGTTTGAACATCCTGATTTTAAAAGGATACACAAGGCACCAGGTTTTAATTGCAGTCACCCTGCTGGCATTTTTTTGTCCATAAAGATGAACACCTAGAGTCCAATCCTCCTCATCCATCACTGGACATGGCTGATTAAAATCCCCCCAAGTCCTGTGAACCCCTCCCCGCCAGCCAGAGTTCCAGACCCTGCCCACACTGCCTTCTGAAGTGACATCAGTCGTAACACATACCAACACACACACAGTCACACGCACACAAATTAATTTCCCCAAATCGCAACAACAAACACAGAGGTCTGCCCTCTTGGAAATTAAATTTTTGTCAAAGGAGAATTTGTAATTACAAATGCACATGCGAGTTCTTGAAGACAGGAGAGAGAGGCTCCAGGAAGGGTGATGGAAAGTAGGTTATAAATGGCCTTTGTCAAGCTGCAGAGAGGTTATAAAACTGCTACGTTTTGTGCTTAAAAAGAAAAATCAATTTTCCATGTGAGTGAAGTGTTGCACATATTAATACAAGCTCAGAGAACTCCTGCTTGTTTCTGAGCAGTCTCTGTCAGACCGAACGGGTCCTGGTCGTGGGGTCACTTGGAGCCATTTACTGTCCTGGGGGCTGGGCTCTACCTGTCTGTGGACAGTGTGGTTTTGTTTCTTGTTGTGTCTGTGTGTCTGTTTGTATCTGTGTGTGCTGGTACTGGGACTTGAAGTCCGAGCCTGAGTGTAGTCCTTTAGATTTTTTTCCATGAAAGACTGGTACTGTCCTGCTGTCGTATTTTTAAAGAGTCTCACAGACTTTCCTGTCCCAGCTTGTTTGAAACCGTGATCCTCAGATTTCAGCCTCTTGAAGAGCTCAGACTGAAGATGTGAGTCATTGGCACCTGGCTCCAATTTCTGTTCCTTCAATGAGTGACCTTGATAATCCGGGTACTACCTAAGCACGTGAGTTATCTGCTTGCTTCAGCAAAGCTTTGGAGCACAGCGTGGGAGGCTGCTAGTGGTTCCCCAAATTGTGTCTCTGTCTTCATCTTTGGAAGCTAGCAACCGTGAATGTTAGCACCTATGATGTTGTGGCAGGCACGATGAAGTTAAAACCCTGGAGGAGTCTATGCTGGATTCTCCAGATTGGCCTAAATGCCCATATCCTTATAGAAAGAAGGCAGGGAGAAATCACAATGACAGAAGAGAAGGCAAATGTGCAAGTGCTGAGAGATTGGTAGATGGAGACAAGAATCCTAATTTGTGGGAGAGGCCAGCAGAGGAGGCAGGAACTACCAATACCTTTTGTTGGGATTTCTGACTTCCAGAATTACAAAAGAATAAATTTCTGTGGTCTTTAGCTTCTATCCTTCCCTCCCATCTCTCTCCAGTATAGCAGAACTTACCATAGCCTCCAGAGGAAATAGATCACCTGGGTAGCATTTTTACTGAGGAGAAAGCCGAGGACAGGGTTACACACACAGGTGGGTGGCAGGGTCAGTGTTTCTCAGGTGTGCCAATTTGGTGGCTATTAACTAAATACCAGGTATTTGCTTAAACTGAATGGGTCAACTTGATTGTCTTGAGAACCACCTAGGTGGTGAGAAAAGCATGTCTTTAGGGTGTGTCTGTGAGGGTGTCTCCAGAGACTGTTGGACCATGTGTGCTGACCCAATCAGTGATTTAATCCACTGATGGACCCATACTCTGTGTGGCCTTTTAGAGGTGGTAGAAACTGTGGGAAATGGACCTTGTTGGTGGAAGGAGGTCACGTGGGAGAGGTGTCTTTGAAGGGTGTGTCTTGGCCCAGGACCTTCCTATTATTTTCCTTGCCTGCTGGCATCTACAAGGTGAGACAGTTTCTTTTTTTTTTTTTTAATTTTATTTTATTTTATTTGAGAACATACTGTATAGAGGGGTTACAATTACATGGGCAGGATAATGCATACATTTCTTACCAAGCATTGCAGCCTCCTCCTTTGTTTACCCTTCACCTCCCTTCCCAGCCTCCCCCCTGCCCCCCACCCAATCATACCCCCCTCCCCCCCCCCCACACCGACATTGTAAAGCTGGTTTTGACATGACATTTTGTACTGATGAGACAGTTTCTTGCACTGGGTCCTTCAGCCATGAAATTCTGCCTCTCCGTGAAGCAGGAATAATGGAGGCAGTGGAGCATGGACTGAAACCTCTGAACTTAGGATCCCAAATAAAGCCTTCCTCCTTTTATACAGCAACACAACTCTGACGAACTTCTCCTGTTCCTCGCCACTTGCTGACTCATGGACAGCTCCTGCTAGAGAGTCAGAGCAAAGCAGGTCTTCGAACTGATCTCACCTACTTCAGCATGGAGCTCCCACGTCTTCATCAGTGATTCAGGCATCTCATTATCTACCCACCAGCACCACTTCAGAAGTAAGAGGGCATGGGAAGAATTTGACATGGAAACCAAGCAAATCTGCGAATTAAAACTGTTCTTTTCCTTTGAGAAGGCATTGTGCTGCAGGCCTGGACCGTGTATGCAACCAAGGTCGGATGTATGACACAGTGTTACACCGTGGGGCCCAGAGCATCCCAGGAGGAAGTTTGTATGATATGTCTTCAGGGAATAGGGCCTGCCTTCCTCTCTCTCTTCCTCCCTTCCCATCCTTTTCCTTCCTTCCTTCCTTCCTTCCTTCCTTCCTTCCTTCCTTCTTTTCTTCCTTCCTTCCTTCCTTTTCTTCCTTTCTTCCTTCCTTTCTTCCTTCCTCACTTTCTTCCTCTTCCTCCTCCTCCTCCCTTCTTGCCTTCCCCATTCCTGTGTCATCCCCCTTTAACATATGGGGATTCTATGAGAAGAAGACAAGTCAGGGATCAAGCCCTTAGCAGAAATGTCAATATCCTGGAATTTAGATTTGTGGGAGAAAGATACCTGTTCTTGGATCTGCTCAACCCATGGTGTCTTGTTATGATATCCTGAGCTCACAAAGTTCAGCCCGCTTATTGCTTTCCAGGTTTATTCTGTTGTGAATGGGAAAAAATACTGACACGAATTCTTTAGATTTATTGCAACCTTTTCCTGACCTACATATATTCTATGTGGGGTTGTGTTCTGTAGGTAATACAAGAGAGTACATATTTTATGATGTGGAGGTGTAGTACCCTAAAAAGTGGAACTGTTAGTTGGTGGTGACATTAAGTTTGTCTATAATGTAGCTGATTTTTTTGTCCTGTTGTTGAATACTGAAGTATTCAACTATAATTGTGGATTTGTCTTATTTTTTTCAGTCCATTAGTGTTTTGTTTGTTTGTTTTGGCAGTATAGGGCTTGAATTCAGTGCCTTGTACTCACTCGGCACACTTGCGCTACTACTTGAGTCATCCTTCAGCCTTTTTGTTGCTGATTAATTGGAAATGGAGTCTTTCAGAATTTTCTGCACAGGCTGGCTTTGAATTGTGATCCTTAAATCTCAGCCCGGTGAATAGCTAGGATTACAGGCATGAGTTAAGGAGCCTGGCTCATTAGTTTTTGCTTCACAAATATCCATGCTTGCTATTTCTTAAACATTCCATGATATTGCTCTTGGATATTTTTTTTTAGTAAGGTCTACTTTATTTAATATTAATATAGCTACTCCTGCTGTTGTTTTCTATGCATAACATGTTGCTTTCCTCTATTTATTTACCTTCAAGCTGCCTATATTATTAAGTGTCAGCTCAACTTTCGCTTTTTTGTTTGTTTAGGCAGTACTGAAATTTGAACTCAAGGCTTTGCAATTGCTAGACAGGTGTTCTACCACTGGACTCGCACCCGTTTTTGCTTTTATTTTTTCAAATAGCGTGTCATACTTTTTACCTGAGATCACCATTCTCCTGCCTCTGCCTTTTATAGTGCTGGAATTACAAATACAAATGAACACATCCAGCTTGATTGAGATGAGGTCTCCTTGACTTTTTGCTTGGGCTGGCCTTGAACTGTGATCTTATTTCTACATCCCATAAAATAGGTTTTTGTTTTGTGTTTTGTTTGGAATAAGGTCTCACTATGCAGCCCAGGATTTCCTGTAACTCAGTGTCTTCCTGGGTATACCACCAGGCTAGACATATAAACTGAATTTCTTACAGGCAACATATAATTGGGTCAAGCTTTTCAATTTGCTCTGCAAGGGTCTGTGTTTTAATTTGTGTGTGTGTGTGTGTGTGTGTGTGTGTGCGCGCATGTGCGTATGAGCGAGTGAACGCTGGTACTGAGGCTTGAACTTA